TCACTTTATTTCAGTATTCACTTTATTGTGGTGGTCTGGAACCAAACCTGCAAGATTTTCAAGGTATGCCTAGATGTATATATTGTATAACCTAGGACTAAGTAAGTATAGTTGGAAGCATATAAATATTCTGCATTGTTTAGACTTTGCCAAGGATAGTCTTTCAAATATCTTGATAGAGTTGTTTTTTTCTTTTTCTTTCTTTTTTTTTTTTTGATTTGGAGTCTCACTCCATTGCCCAGGCTGGAGTGCAGTGACACGCTCATAGCCACCTCAGCGTTGACCTGCTGGTCACCGGTAATTCTTCCTTCTCAGCCTTCCAAGTAGCCAGAACTACAGGCATGCGCTACCATGCGTGGCTAATTTTTGATTTATTGTAGGGACAAGGTCTCGCCAAGTTGCCCGGGCTGGTCTCGAACCCGCGGCTCGGCTGGTCTCGAACCCGCGGCTCGGCCTCCCAAAGTGCTGGGATTACAAGCTGAGCCACCAAGCCCAGACCCTATACAGCTGGGTTTTTTTCTAGTTTTCTTTGTTTCTTCTGAATTATACTCAATAGTTCATCCATCTTGGTTTCCATCTTGTCCTTTTTCTTTGATATCTTCCTCATTTTATCATCACATCCTGAAGTAATTTTTTTTATAGAAGGTAAAATTTTTGAGTGCTTAAATTTTGGGAAATTTCCTTTTTTGCCATCTCATTTGATAGTTCTAGAATCACATACACATCCCAATCTTTGAAAACATTGATTTTCTAGCTGCCAACTTTGCTTGAGCAGATATTCCTCTGATTTATGACATTTTTTAGCTAACTTTTTTCCTTCTCATAATTTTAGAATTTTAGGATTTCTTATCTCCATAGTATTGAGAGATGTCACTAGGTATGGGTTATGTTTCATTACCTATGTTTAGCATTTGGTGGAGCTTTTTTTTTTCACACGGAAGTTTTTAATTCACTAAGGTGGTCGTGAAAAATCTACACAATGACCACAGATATCATCGTTGCATCATTTTTACTCCTTTGCCTTCTTGCCACACCACCATTGGCCTTTGCAGTCCCCCTGACTTTCTTCATTCTGTTCTTTCATTCCTTTTGCTGCTTCCTTGAGGTCTTTTTCTTCTCATACAGACCATGTCCTGCAAGTCTATGTCTGGTTCATTCTTCTTTGCATAAGCCAAGGAATCATAAATCATGCAAAAGCCAGTTGTCTTGTCACTACCAAAATGAGTTCTGAATTTAAATACAAAGATGACATCCAGTGTTGTCTTGTACATTTTGGGTAGTTTTTCCTGAATTTCTATCTTAGGTACTGTTGCCTTCCCAGTATGAAGGACATTGATGATCACTTATTTCCACTGAAGCAGTTGGTCATGACTTTCCTGGTCCAAATAGTTACTGTGTAGTTCATAAAGGCAGCCAATCCTCAGGCAGTCAGGAGGGTAAGAGCTGGTGGAGCCTTTATGACTTTAACCTGAGAAAGTTTTATCGTCTATGTCTCTATGTCTCTTACTATCCATCTATCAGTCTATGTATCATTCTTTCTATCTGTCACCTATCTATCTATCTGATCTATCATTTTCCTCTCCTCCCCTTTTCCTGGTTTTCCCCTTTGTATTTCTATTTGACTTTTCTGGATCTATCTTTTACCTCTCAATATTCTCTCATATTTTTTGTTTGCTTTTTGCTATTCATTTTAGATTTCTTCTTCTTTATTATCCACATCAACATTCATGCTTTTATGCACAAAGTATCGTTCATCTCATCCTATAGTGATTTTTTAACTAATTTTTAATTTTTAAAAACTCTCTTGTTCTGTAATCACGTCTTTTTCATATAGGCTGTTCTCATTTGATGGTTCTACCAGTCTCTTCAGTATCTTAGAGGATGCTAGTTCAGATTTTAAAACATATCGTTTTCTGTTATCTTTTCTCCTGGTTCACTTTTTCTGTTTTTTTTGTTTTTGTTTTTGAGTCAGGGTCTCTCTCTGTCAGCCAGGCTGGAGGGCAGTGACACAAACACAGCTCACCGCAGCCTCAAACTTTTTTTTTTTTTTTTTTGAGTTGGAGTCTCACTCTGTCTCCCAGACTGGAGTGCAGTGGCCGCTCCCAGCCACCGCAACCTCGGCCTGCTGGGCTCCGACGATCCTTCCGCCTCAGCCTTCCGAGTAGCTGGAATTACAGGCATGTGCCACCACGCCCAGCTGATTTTTTGATTTATTGTAGAGATGAGGTCTCGCTGCCCAGGCGGGTCTCGAACCCGCGGGCTCAGGCAATTCACTCACCTCAGCCTCCCAAAGGCGCGGGATTACAGGCTGAGCCACCGAGCCCGGCTCAGCCTCAAGCTTCTTAACTCAGGTGATCCTTCCACCTCAGCCTCCTGAGTAGCAGCTGGGACTACAGGGGCATGCCACCAGACCCAGCTAATTTTTTTGACTTTTTTTTTTTTTGTAGAGACAAGGTCTCACCATGTTGCCCAGGCTGGTCTCGAACTCCTGGGCTCAAACGATCCTCCCACCTCGGCCTCCCAAAGTACTAGGATTATAGGTATGAGCCATTGCACACAGCCGTGTCCACTACTCTTTTTGTTTTATGGATTTTTTAGCAGCTGCTTTTTTTCTAAATATCTGGAATCTGAGGTTGTCCTTTTAAGTTTATACTAACGGCTGCATTTGTTAATGAATGGTAAGTATGGCTTTCTCCTGTGGTTACACAGTTCCACTTTCCAGGTATCCTCTCTCTTGAATGAGCTTCCATTAGGTGGGTGTGCCAGTTGGTTGGTGTCCATCAGGGCATGTGCTCTAGCAGCCACAGACAGTAGTGCCTCACTTTGCTAGAAGAGCATGTTAGTTCCTTAAGCTGTGTTCTGCCTCTCCCTCTTGGGTCCCAGCATCTCTTCTGGCAGATAACCACTTTCTTTTTTTTTTTTTGAGTCGGAGTCTCACCCTTTCACCCAGGCTAGAGGGGAATGGCATGCTCACGATCACCGCCGCCTTGACCTACTAGGCTCGGGTGAGCCTTCTGCCTCAGCCTTCCAAATAGCTGGAACCACAAGCCACCATGTCCAGCTAATTTTTTTACTTATTGTAGAGATGAGGTCCCACCAAGTTACCCAGGTTGGTCTCAAACCCATGGGCTCAGGCAGTCCTCTCACCTCAGCCTCCCAAAGTGCTGGGATTATAGGTGTGAACCACCACGCTCAGCCACTACTTTCTTTAAAGCGGGCTTCAGTCTGAAGGAAAAGTTTTCGGCCAACCATTCTGATCAGAACTGGAGAGGGGCTCTTATGATCTAGATATTGAGGATGAGCTTCCTGAGGAGGCCCACTTATCTCTGGGCTTGAGCTGATGGTTCCTTTACTAATCCAGCCCCATTAACTTTCTTTCTTCCAGGCAATCCTCAAAATTCTGATTCCCAAGCATGCCCTGTACTCTTTTTTTGTTTGTTTTTAGGTTTTCATTCTTTTTGTTGGTTTTTTATTTTGTTCTAATATTTGGTCATTTCAGTAGGAATCTAGAGAAAGTGTAGGCAGCAGACCTGTGTGCTCCATCTGCTGTCCTCAGCTGGAAACTAGGAACATTGCTGAACTTTTGAATTAGGGGTGAAAATATTAAAAATTCAATATTTCAAAACCATAACTTTTTGTCTAGATTGTGTCTCTTGTTTTTTAAGTATCGTTAATGAATATACCTAAAATAAAATGTAGTAATAAAATTGGACAAAGTGGATTGTAGAATTTTTTACAAAACTGTTATGATATTTGTTTAAACAAGCAGTTGTACACTAACAACCAAAATGGATTTTTCCATGTGCAAACTCAGTGATTCAAAAGAGGATTAAGCACGGTGGCTCATGCCTGTAATCCCAGCACTTTGGGAGGCGGAGGCGAGAGGATCACCTGAGCCCAGGGATTCGAGACCAGCCTGGACAACTTGGTGAGACTTCGTCTCTACAATTAAAAAAAAAAAAAAAAAGATTAGCCAGTCATGGTGGTTTGCACCTGTAGTTCCAGCAGATTGGAAGGCTGAGGCGGAAGGATGGCTTGAGCCCAACAGGTTGAGGCTGAGGTGGCCATAAGCATGCCACTGCACTCCAGCCTGGGTGACAGAGTGACACTCCAACCTAAAAAAAAAACAAAAAGAGGATGAGTTTCTCAGAATTACTTGGCATCAATAAACCTTTCAATTGAGGGATTTTTAAAATGACTTGCTTACTTTTCATGAATTTCATTTTAATTCTTTTGCTTTAGAGTCACTTTGATGATACCTGGCCATAATTATGCTCATTTCAAGTTGAGAGCTACTGCTAAGAGAGCAACTGATTTTCTTACTGAAGTTTGAATTAATCATTTTAAACCTAAGATGTTTGTTTTATATCCTTCTTCATGCATTGGCCAAATATTAGTGACTTGTTCTAAAAAATATCAGTGTTAAGAGGTAAGGTTAGGTAAAGTATACAACATATTTCCTGCTAAAGAGAAGAAAACAAAAACAAAGAGTCAAGAGTAGTTATAAACCATTACACATACGTAATGTTTGTAACTTTTTGGAAGTATAGAAAGGTAGCAAAATGGAAGTTTTAAAAACCTAATTTAGTGCATCCTGCAGTATATTTTACATGCAATTTTTGCCAAACTCATGGGCAGTGTTATGGTGGAGGGACAGACACAGATCTCTTTTCTGCCCTCTTCTTCTGCTGTGACCTGACTGCTCAGCTCTCTAGAGAATCCCCATCCCTTGTGTATTTCCTTTTGGAGAAGAACATGTTTCAAGTCAGACTTCACACATCTTTTGAGTTCTTTCAGCTATCTTTGGTTCTGCCTGGGTATGTTAAATGTTAATGATGACCTAGTCTAAATTAGTAAACAAAAAAAGGAGTTTAGAAAATAACACTGAAAATATTGTCTTTGACTTTTATTGTATCAAGTGAAGCAATAAGTAAGGTTCAGAACACCACTTGATAGATTGTAATGATTATATTGGCTTCTTATCCCCTTTCTTCACCCAGAAAAGGATTATAGCAGTCTTTGTGACAAGCAGCCAATAGGAAGACTTCTCTTCAGGCAATTCTGTGATGTAAAGCCTAATCTAAAGAGGCACATTGAATTCTTAGATGCAGTGGTAAGCAATTTATCTTAATATTGCACTACCCACCTAATCTTGTGCTTGAAAATTTAAAAAGGGAGGCTGAATGGTGAGACTTCCCCTGAGTGTTCACATTCATTGTTTTGGAAACTTCAGAATCTTCTTGGATTGGCTCAGATTCCTAAAAGATGAAACTATACTTTGTGGGGGCCCGGGGAGGGGCTAGCCCTCAGGGGACTCTGGCTCCACCCCTGGCTGGCCTCTGACCCTGACGGGTCTTTTTATCTGATTTCCACGTCCATAAGGGACAGTACTCTCTCAGCTGTTCTGTTCAGAGCGGCGCTGGGTAATAGGTGTTATACAAATAGGTATTCACCTCCTTCTCTGAAAAGCTGTGTGATGACAGGCTGACTTAACATTTTAGGGATTTTTTTTTTCTGGAAACCTTAGGACTGCTCATGTTTATTGAATTCTGTATGTCAGGCCATGTTTTTTAAAATCCTCGTAGCAATCCTATGAATTCTGATATTCTAATTTGGCAGAGCAATTACTTTACTTGACAATAACAAAAAGAAAGAGACGGCACATCAGCCAGCAAACTAACATGGAAGCTGGAGATAAGAGATGGGATCTCACTATGTTGACCAGTCTTGCCTTGAACTCCTGGCCCCAAATGATTCTCCTGCCTCAGCCTCCTAAGTGACTGGGATTACAAGCTTGAGCACCATGCCTGTCTAAATATGCTTTTGATAGTTGGAGACGAAAACAGCAGTTCAAGTGGACAGATTATTGTGGACAAAAACTGAAGTAATGGTTTCAATAGGAGATGGCCTGGTGGTTGCCAGTGATTTTATCAGAAACCTGAATATTAAACTTATTAAAACTTATATACCTGGATGCCATATTGCACCCTGCAGAATCCCCATTCAGGACAGAGTCATACATTGTTCCAGTTGGCAAGAGTGTTGGCTGCGGACAGCTCACTACTGAGTCCTTTCCCGGGCATTGCTGTCTGCTTAAGGAAGCTGTCTGGCTGAAAGTTACATACACTTTCTCCCAGGGCCACTCATATCTGATGACTGCTTGATAAAGAGACACAAAAGCCCATGCTCTTTGCTTCAACCAGTACAACTATAAAGGACAATTTAAACAGATCCTCATACCATCAGCTGAGGTCTTTGTTCTGACTGTGTCGGGATTCAGCATCTCTGGCCAATTTGTTTTCTGCTTTCGGTCACAACTGTTCTGGACAACACTCCCAAATAAACTTTCTGCATACAAATTTCTGCACAGAGTGTTTTCTGGGGAACTCATCTAAGACAACTCAAGACATAATTTGAGATACAATAGGCTATTTTAACAGAATTTAACATAGCGTTTGGAAAGCCCAAAAGTATTTATGACTCAGTCACTGGAAATGCTGGGCAGTGGTCTCTATGGTAACCATTTGGCATTTCAACTTAAGTGCTGAATTACTAAACCAATTTAGATTCTACTGACAAAGGATTGAAAAGGAGAGAAATTATACAGGAGCTGGGATTTTTCTTTTCTCAAGCTTTGTCAAACCCATCAATCAATCAGTTCTGGTCACTAAGTGTATATCAGTAAGGCTGTATCAGGAAGCTATGCTGTGGAAAAAAAGAAACATACAAACAACAACAAATCCCTCAAGGCTTAAAAAGCAACAATGTTTTATTTCTTGTTGATGCTACATGTTCATTTCCAGTCAGATGGAGGAGAGGTATTTCTGCTTATAGTCCCCAAGGAAGGCAGGCTAAACTTGCAAATCACTGCCAAAGGGAACAAGAATTCTGGGCGGGTTTAGAACCATAATTTAAGAGTTCCACCCAAAGTGGCACACATCACTGACACTCGTAATTCACTATAACTGTTTATCACAAGGAACTCAGAAATGCAATCTCAAAATATGTCTGGAAGGACAGGAGTGAGAGGAACTGGAATATTTGGCAGGCTGCCAGAAGACTAGGGAAAACTCTTGGAACATAGAAAATAAAAAAGAAATCAGTTTAAAAAAAATTTAAAAACTAGAACTAGGCAGTGATAGAGGAGTGGATAAACTTGTGTCAGTGTCATGTTATCTTCTTAATACAGAAATCCCTTTAGTATGAAGTGATTTTTTTTTAATGTGAATTACATTTCAAGTGCGAGAATCACATGTGGTTACTGAATGACTTTGAAACATACTGCTTTGATTTGTACAAAGATGGACAGACTAATTAAGATGATAATGTTTGTTTAGCCACCTGAAAAGTATCCTTCCTGCCCTCAACTGTCAGATACGCTATATTTAAAATACTTTAACTCAGAAGCATATGGAATGGATAAAGTTAGTATAAGAAAAATGATCACAGTGTATGGAATTTACTATACTCTACAAAGTTTCCAGCATTCTTAGTCCTGTTTGAGACTTACTGGGGTTTTCTTATAGGCAAAGAAAATTTGTGTTTCTAAATCTTTATAAAAACCACTGGCAAGCTGAGAATTTCAAAACTGTAATTCAGAAGCAAGTGACCAATAGAGAGTTGGTGGAATTTAGTAGAAAAGCTCCCTTACTTTTAGTTATTTTGACCAAGGTAATGAGCTGTCCTCTGCTTTAGTCTGTCCCAGTTCTGTCAGCAAATATGTTCTAAGCCCTTACTATATGCAGATATTATAGATAGATAGATAGATAGATAGATAGATAGATAGATAGATATAGATATAATATAGTTGTATATTATATGACTTTTTTTGAGACAGGGTCTTACTCTGCCACTCAGGTTGGAGTGCAGTGGCAGAGTATAACTCTGCCACCTCAAACTCCTGGGCTCAAGCAGTCCTACCCCCTCAGCCTCCCAAGTAGCCGGGACTACAAGGATGCATCATGGCACCAAGTTTAATTAACGATTTTTTTTCTCCCATCTCTCCAATCAGGCAGAATATGAAGTTGCTTATGATGAGGACCGAAGTGATTGTGGACTGTCAATCTTAGATAGATTTTTTAATAATGAGGTATGTTTTCTTCTTTAGAAAAATTTGTAAATAACTTAAATAATTAGAGTGCCTAGACATTTTTACTTTGTTGAATAAGATATAACATACATTAAAAGCTTTAATTTGTTATAAATGTTCCTCTTTTGCATTTTTGTTTGATTTTTATGAGGAAATTAACAATTAGATCTCAAAAAATTGATTCAGGCTTTGGCCAGCTCCCCTACCTTGGAGAGTTGAATCTCCTTTCTTTCATTTACTTTCTAAGTAAACTATATGTTCTAATCTAAAAAAAAAAAAAAAAAAAGAACTTAAAAGTTTCTGTGTTTGCTCAAGCAGAATATAGAATTAGATAATTTTTTGGTCTTTCTTGGACTAACATTTTCTTCCTAAAAATTTTAGCAGGTCTTAGTCTTTATGCTTTTTGACTAACTAGGTTCTTGCAGTTTAGAGCTATAGCTTGCTTTCTTTCATGTGACATCTGTTTGGTGGACCAAACTTTAATAATTTCGAAATACATAGTTCAGTAGTGTTAAGTATAGTCATGTTGTTATACAGCCAATCTCTAGAGCTTTTTCATCTCACAAAACTGAAACTCTGTACCATTAAACAACAGTTCCCTCTCCAAGCCCTTACACAACCATTCTACTTTCTGTCTCTATAGGTTTGACTACTCTACAACCTCATATAAGTAGAACCACACAGGATTTGTGTCCTTTTGTGACTGGTTTATTTAACATAGTGTTATGTCCATAAGGGTCATCCAAGTTGTAGCATGTGTTTTTTTAAGGCTGGATAATATTTCACTATAAGTATATACTGCATTTTATTTATTTATTAATCTATGGGCAGTTAGGTTGTTTCCACCTTTTGGCTATTGTGAATAATGCTTCAGTAAACATGGGCGTAACACCCCCCCAAAAAAACATGGGTGTGCAAATACCTCTGAGACCCTACTTTCCATTCTGTGTGTGTTCTGATATACATAGGAAAAAGCCTGAGAAGACAGACAACAGTTAGAACTCTGCAGAGTGGGACTAAGGTGGAGGGTGCAAGTGGTATTTGACTTGCATTTTATATATACTTTATGTTTCATTTTTTTAAAACAATAAGTCTTAGTTTCTGTTTATGATTAGTAAAATATAAAATCACTAATTGTTATATATTTGGTTTGTCCTGTATTAAGTCAGCAACCCTTTTACCAGAAATATCTCCAGTTGATGTGAGAGAATGTAGATTGAGACTAAAGCAGAAGCCTTCCAAAAAAGTCTTTGAGGATTGCACTAGGTAAGTGGTTCACCTCCAACCCTATACATATTATCCATGGCTAAGCTCAAGACAGAGGGCTTATAAAAAGTTTCTCTACATGAAACAAGTTCTTATCAGAATATGGTTGACTCTTTAACTATGCAGGGGTTAGGGCCACTTCTCCTCCACCCCTGCATAAAAGAAAAATCCATGTATAACTTTGACTCTTCCAAAAGCTTACTACTTATATCCTACTGTTGACCAGAATCTTTACCAAACACACACAGTCAAGTAATACATATTTTGTATGTTATATGTATTATATACTGTATCCTTACAATAAGTAAGCTGGAGAAAGAGAATGTTATTTAAAAAATCATAAGGGAGAGAAAATATTCTTGCTATTCATTAAATGGAAGTAGATCATCATGCAGGCCTTCATTCTCATTCTCTTCACTTGGAGTTGCTGAGAAGAAAGAGGGAGAGGAGAGGTTGGTCTTGCTGTCTCTGGGGTGGCAGAGGCAGAAGGAAATTAATGTATAAGTAGACTTATGCAGTGCAAACTCCCATTGTTCAAGGGCCAACTGTGCTTTCCAAATTAAAATGATCACTTTCTCTAGAAAGAGGTGAATGAAGAATGGTAGTTACACACATATAAATGGCACACTGAAAGGGGTCCCATTATTGAGCTCCAGTAGCCTAGCGTCCCTGTGGTAACTCCAACTCCACGTCCTCTCTCCTTAGCCTTCCAAAATGCCTGTGTCTAAGACAAAAAGATTCCCATAAAATATTTTTCCAGACCTAGACACTTGCTTAAAATATCTTCTTTCTGGATCTTTGCAGTATGGATAGGAAAATTCTAAGGCGGAACACTTTGACTTTCCTACATATACAGAAAGAAAGCATGGTTTCTGAGGTGATCAGATCCCCAAATCATCATGCTTTTTTTATGTATGTAGACTCATGTCACAGATAAGGAAATTGAGGCCCAGGGAGCCTCAAGCAAGTTTATTCTTTGTTCTGAGAGCAATTAGAGTGACATATTCATTATGTTTTTAAAAGATAGGGCTGGCTAAAATTTAGAGGTAGGTTTGAAGGGAGGGAAGATTGGGTCTGAGAGACCAGTCTGAGAGGCTGTTGCAGCTGTCAGGTAAGATATGGTGGCAGCTGAGCTCGGTGGCTCAGCCTGTAATTCCAGCACTTTGGGAGGCCAAGGTGAGTGGATGGCCTGAGCCCATGGGTTTGAGACCAGCCCAGGCAACTTGGCAAGACCTTGTCTCTACAATAAATAAAAAATTAGCTGGGCATGGTAACCTGCACCTGTAGTCCCAGCTACTTGGAAGACTGAGGCGGAAGGATCGCCAGAGCCCAGCAGGTTGACACTGGGCTGGCCGTGTGAGTGTGCCACTGTACTGCAGCCTGGGTGACGGAGTGAGACTCCGACTAAAAAAAAAAAAGATGTGGTGGCAGCATGGACCAGGTGATAAGAGTGATGATAGGGATACATGAATGGGCTTTAGAGACATTCAGGGACTGCTGGCAAGGTAGGACTATATATATTGTTTGGGGACATGCTGAACTTGACGTGTGTTTCAGTTACCAGGCATAGCTGAGAGGCATGGGAGACTGGATTTGGGGATCATCACCTCTGTCTAGGTGTGATGAGGTTGTGGCAGTAGAGGTGAAGTCCAGGGCATATGGGCAGAGTGAGAACTGAAGAGAAGTGTGAGGTGAATGGAGAAAGCTACAGACCCACCTCCACATTTTCATACCTGCCACTCTTCCACTTTTCCTCCATTGGAGGTCCTGGTGCCTCAACAGTGTTGGTGGAAGGAGGAGCAGATGCTAGCTCATATGAGTTGAAGTGTGATGCGAGATAAAGAGAGGTGTGCCGCAATTTTGATGGGAGGCCATATGCTGGGGCAGATGGGAGACTGGGGTAGAGTGGTCCAGGAGAATGCATGTGTTTGTAGCAGCTGCTCAGAGACCAAGCCAGAGCGCCTCACACCCAGGGAAATGAGGAGTTGCATTTTTGACTTGTGCTAGTACTTTAAAAGTGCTTTCCTATATATTTTTAATGCTCGAGGAGATTTAAAAATTTATCTTAGACTTACCATGGTGTTTCTGATGGAAAACCAGACCACAGAGAGTAGAGTTCATTCATTCATTCAACAGGTAATTTATCAAGGGTCTATTCTGTGCTAAGTAAACACCATCCTAGGCACTTGGGCTAGATCGGCAAACCTAACAAACAGGCTTCCTGCCTTCACACAGCTCACATGCGGAAGGGAGTGACTCACCTAGGTCTATAGGGCTGGGAATGGAACCTGTAATACTTTAATAATGTGGCTGCATTTGAATTTAAAATCCAAGGCTTGCTGTCTGCTCATGGCTTCCACCTGAGGCATAGGTACCCTGCACACTGAGGAGCTGAGTGATTTAGATGCTTATCCCTTTAGTGAGAATTTCATTGACCAGTTCCACATCCCACAGATAAGTGGTTTGCACCTCATCTTTCCCCTAGCTAGGTATATGGTGCTGGACTAGAACTTTTCCTCTGTCCTTCAGTGCCCTCCTCTGAACTTGGATGAGAGTCGTCTTTTACTTGTTCTTGTTGGATAGTCACATTAATGGAATTCTAGTGTTTGTGATTTGAACTTCTTTTGCAAGAAAATGTTGACTGTCTTTGATCACTTCTGTGGTATGGCAGACAGGACAGGCATGGTCTTGGATTTATGATTACTAGTCCTGGGACATTGTGGTAAGAATCAAAATTCTTCATCTTTTTTTAAACTTTTTTATTTTAGAGATATGGGGTACAATTCAGGGTCAGGTATACAAACGTTCATTATGCAGGTACCCTTGTTGATGAGGTGTGCCCCCGTTCCCCAGGCAGATTCTCACTACTGCCAATCCCCCGTCCCATCTTTCTCAAGGCAGTTTCCCGCTACTGCCAATCCTTTTCTTATAGCATTATGATAATTGTTCAAAGTCTGCTTATGAGTGAGAACATGTGATACTCAGTTCTTTGTTTCTGTGAAAGATCACTCAGTATTATAGACTCTAAGTCCATCCAGGTTGCTGTGAAGTTTATGATTTTGTTCTTCTTTATGACTGTGTAATATTCCATCATGTATATGTACCATTTTTTTTTATCCAGTCTCTTTTGATGGGCAGCACAGTTGGTTCCATGTTCTTGCTACTGTGAACAATGCTGTGATAAACCTACATGTGCAGGTATCTTTTTTATACAGTGATCTGAGTTCTTCCGGGTATATTCCCAGTAGGGGGATTGTGGGATCGTATGGAATGTCAATTTTTAGATCTTTTAGGAATTGCCACACTGTTTTCCACAGAGGCTGTACTAGTTTACACTCCCACCAACAGTGTAGAAGTGTACCCTTTTCACCGCATCCTCTCCAGCATCTGTTGTTTTTTGACTTATTGATGATAGCCATGCTAACTGGAATTAGGTGGTGAAATAGGGACCGAGCGCTTAATTCACAGACATCAACACCAAAAGTATAAGTTATAAAAAGGAGAGGTATATTAGCCAAGAGCCGGCCGGCGGCCACTTGCCTGCTGGACATGCCAGTCCCACAGCAAGGGCCCCTATTTGCTGTAGGGGCTTGCTTAAATGGAGCAAAACCACATTGGGACTTTCCAAGTGGGCCAAACCGCAACATTCTGGAGGCCTAGGTACTTTTCAAGCAATGCTAGCGGGGTTCACAGACGTGAAAAAAAAGCTGTTAAACAGTTTAATCTGGCCAGCAGGTGCTGTTGCCAGTTTCCAGTTTCCAGGAAGGGAACTTTTTAACTGTACAAAGGCTGAGTACATGCTTAACTCTACAAAGACTGAGTTTATGCTTAGTCTAATTTTTGACATTGTAGATGTGTTTTTAATCCCCTTCCACAGTGGTATCTCAGTGTGGTTTTAATTTGCATTTCTTTGATGACTGGTGAGGCTGAACGTATCTGTTGGCTGCTTGTATGTCTTTTGAGAACTGTCTATTCATATCTTTTGCCCACTTTGTAATGGGGCTGTTTGTTTTTTCCTTTTTGGCACGTTTGAGTTCCTTGTAGATCCTAGATGTTAGGCCTTTGTCAGACATAACAGTTGGCAGATATTTTTTTCCCAGTCTGTGGGCTGTCTCCCCGCTCTCTTGATGGTTTTTTTGGCTTTGCAGAAGCTTGTCAGTTTGATGAGGTCCCACTTGTCTATCTTATCTCTTACGGCATGGGCACTTGGAGTTTTGATCAGGAATTGGTTGCCAGTTCCAATTTCCATAAGGGTGTCTCCTGCATTTTCTTTTTCTTTTTGAGTTGGAGTCTCACTTTGTCACCCAGTCCGGGCTGGGGTGTTGTAGCACGCTCAGGGCCACCGCAGCCTCAACCTGCTGGGCTCAGGTGGTCCTTCTGGCTCAGCCTTACAAGTAGCTGGAACTATAGGCATGCGCCATCATGCCCAGCTAATTTTTTTTTTTTTTGAGTTGGAGTCTCACCCTGTTGCCCAGACTGGAGTGCAGTGGCCACTCCCAGCCACCGCAGCCTCAACCTGCTGGGCTCCGGCGATCCTTCCACCTCAGCCTTCCAGGT